TCTGCCCCTCCCTCTCTCTCTCCCTCTCTCTCCCTTTCTCTCTCTCTCTCTCTCTCTCTCTCTCTCTCTCTCTCTCTCTCTCTCTCTCCAGGGTGGCCTTGAATTTACTATATAGCCTGGGCTGGCCTCAAACTCTAGGCAATCCTCCTGTCTGAGCCTCCCTAGTGTTGGGATTATAGGTGTGCGTCAACTTGCCCAGCAAGATAGCCTCTTTAATAAATGGTGCTGTGAAAATTGGCCTCTAACAATTGGTGCTGAAAAACCTCTTATCCGCGTGTAGAAGAATAAACAGACCCATATCTTTCATCTGTCTCTCATCCTGTACTAAAATAAAATAAATCTGTATTCAAGACCAAAATATAGGAAGAAAAACATGGCATCTGCTAGAAGAAATAAATAGGTAAAAACACTTGAGCATATAGGTATAGGCTAGGATTGTCTTGAATCAAAACTCAATTGAAAAAACTAACTCCGGGAATCAAGAAATGGAATTATATCCAATGAAAAAATCTGTACAACAAAGGAAATAAGAAAAAAGTGAAGAGACAATCTACAGAATGGGAAAAAATTGCCAGCCATTCCTTAGAGAGAGGAATATTATTTAAAACATAAAAAGAAATAAAAATATTAGACCGAAAAAAAATCCAATGAAAAATGGGTAAGTGAAATGAATAGAGACTTCAACAGAGAAAGTACAAAAGGCCATTAAGTACATGAAAAAATGTTCTGCATCTTTGGCTATGAGATAAATGGGTGTCAAAATAACACTGAGATTCCATCTCCTTCCAGAAAGAATGGCTGTCATCAAGAAATCAACCAATAACAAACACCGGGCTGACTATAAGGAAAGAGGAAACTTGCTACATTGTAATGCAAAGTAGTTCATCCACTCTGGAAGTCAGTATGGGTCCACTGACTCAGCTATACCTGTTATGGGTGTCTTCCTGAAAGGTAAAGGCATCATATTGGAGTGATAGTTGCATAGCCACGTTTACATCAGCACTGTTCATAACAGCTGAATCTAGGAAGCAGAGCCTGGGGGTGGGGAGGGTCCCGGCAGGGAGTCACAGCTGGGGCCCAGGCCCTTCCTCCCCCCTCAGATCCCAGCTCTCAGCCCAAGGACCCTCCAGACCTCCCCAGCACCAGCCCACACCTGCTGTTCTCCCTCCCCACTGCCCAGGGGTGGCCCCTTGTCCCCAGGAGGAGGAGGGACCGGCACAGCTGGGGACACACTCACCTGCCTGCCCTCGGGGCCTGGGGCCCAGACTCAGCCCTGGAAGAGAGCTCCCTGTGAGAGGTTGGCCCTGGAGCCTGAGCAGGTCCTCTCCTCCCCGAGCCTCCTGAGCCCCTGCTCCCCCGATGGAGTGGGGCTGGCTGTGGGGTGGGGTCCCGGGGTCCCTCCCAGAGCAGGGCGTCCCCTCCCCTCTTCCGGTCTCACCCAGGCAGAGCAGGTCAATGAGGGTGGGTGTCATGAAGTCTCCTCCCACTTTTCTGGGGAGTGTAAATGATCAAGTCTATGAGGCTTGACAGGACAAATAGAGAAACAGAGTGTGGCCACTTAGAGACCAGGTTCCGCCTGTCGTGACATTGTCACATCAGTAGCCCCACCAGACTCTCCGGGAGTCTGGCTGTAGTTTCCTTAAGGTGGGGAGGACAGTCAAGAACTTCTCTGCCCACTATCTGAGCTGTTCTTTTTTTTTTTTGGTACTGGGGATCGAACTTGGGACCTTGGGCTTGTGAGGCAGGCAGTGGAACCACTGAGCTAAATCTTTGGCCCATGATCTATTCTTATCTTACAGAGAACCAAGTCATAGCAACAAATAGACCTGGTGCTTTTCTGAACGGGTCCCTTTGAAGTCAAAGTGCCCAAGGGCCGGTCCTTCCTGGCAGGGCCTCCCCACAGCCTCCTCCTCCCTCAGCCCGTCCACTGCACAGCTCGGTGGTCCTCACCTTGGCCGTCATCTCCCGCCCTGGAGATGCTGGGGAAGATGCGGGTTCCTGGTGCAGGTGACACTGAGCAGAGACGCGCTGAGCCCTGACTGTGTCGCTCACTGGGGCAGCGTCCTGGGGATGAGCTTGGGGGACAGGCGGGAGACAGATAGGAAACACGTCTGTGTTCCTGCTCTGGCTGTGGTTTCCCTGCACTAAATGCTCCCCTTCACTGGTTGCAGAATTCCCAGAGAGAGGAGACCAATAGGAATCAGGAGGATTTATTTCAGGTTTTAGGTGAACATCAGCCTAACGGACTCCTGTCCAAAGGAAGAGCATTGAACAAAAAAAGTTTCAGTTCCTATGTATTTGATCAAAAGGGGTTGGTCTTTCTAGGGACATGGCATGGAGTTTACTGGAACAGGACAAGAGCAGTCAGTTTTGTAATTTAGCCTTGAAAGAATCTTATGAGTCTTATGAGTCATATGAGAGCAGAGTGTCTTAAACTTTGTTTATAGGACATAAAGATAAAATTACATACAGATAAATTTATACCAGAACAAGGAGTTACAGCTACAGGAGAGCAGGGGTCACTTGGGGGGCAGATTGCCCAAGGCTGGGAAGAACTTGTTTTTCTGTAAGTCCTGCTTCATTCCCCCGCTTTGGTGCTTTTTATAAGAAGTTTTAATAGAGAGCATCATCCTTATCATCATCATTATTATCTTTAATTTTTTGTCACAAGGGGAAGCTCAGGAAAACCTGCTGAGCAGAGGCTGGCATTTGGTTGAGGCCATCAGTTGAGTGGTGATGTGTCTGCCTGTCAGAGTCTCTATGGCCAACTGAGTGTTTCTGACAAGTAGGGGTAAGAGGCAAGGGAGATTTATAACAAAGAGGATAAGACACTTATGTTGTCCTTGTGACTCTATATTGATCCTCAAGCTTTGGCCATGTGGGGACCAGTCAGCTTCCAAGGTGGCCTGAGCAAGGCTATTGTTTTCTCATGCTTTTGCCATGCATATATTAGTCAGCTTAGTCATGTTTTTTTTTAGTCATATTTTTAATGTTGTCTTTTCTATGTGAGACCCATGATGGAATTGTTTTATGAACTTGGGGCCCAGAACCTTGGGGATGGCTAGACTTTTATTGTCTCCCCTGTATATGCTTTTTAGCTTTTTGGGAGAATCAGGGTCTTTTATCTGAGGAGTAGCTCAGGGTGTCTGGGAGAGGAGGCTCTGGGATGAGGGGCACAGGAAGAGTCTCTGTTTGGGGTTGGGGGGCTGTCACAGAAGCCCATTTTGAGTTTTTTTGTCTGCTTTTTGGTTCTCTCTGGCTTTCAATGTTTCAGTCCTTTGGTGCCCCCTGCAGTGGATAACAGCTGCATTCTTTGAGGCCCACACTGCATCTAGTGATTGTAAACTTTTGTCTTTGTACTTTTTTTCCTAGCAGTTAAGATTTTTCTTTTCTTATATATAGTCCCCTGTACATGTAATGTTGTAAAGACATATAAGGAATCAGTATAGATATTAGCTGTTTCCTCCTTTGTTAGTAAAAGAGCCCTGGTTACGGCTATTAGCTTCATCTCCTGGGCTGAGTTTTGGTGGGCAGAAGTCAGGCCTCTAGCACAGAGTCCAATGTCAACACTGCATACTCAAGTGGTCAGTCGTTGTCCCAAGGTCAGTTGTCAGCTTTCTGGATCAGCAGGGCAGTGGCAGCAAGTGCCCTGAACCATGGAGGCTATCCTAGGCCCACAGAGTCTAGTGGTTTTGACAAGTATGCCTTTGGATGATGTGAGGATCTCATGACCTGGGTTAAGATTCTTATGGTCTTGTCTTTTTGTTCAGGGACATAAAGGATGAAAGGCTTGGTTATATCTTGCAGTCTTAAGGTTGGCACCTGAGTGAAGGCTTTTTTGACTTAAATGTTCTCTCCTGGTCAGCTTCCCAGAGGAGGGGCTCTTTTTTCCCCCTTTGTACCTTTATATAGGGGCTTAGCCATAGTGAGGAATCTGGGATCTAGATACAGCAGAATCCCATTGTCCCTAGAAACTCTTTTATTTGGTACTGGGTGGTTGGATCTGGGAGAGAAGACTGCCTGTTTAGTTCTGTGTTTAGTTGCCATTCTACTTGAGTCATTATGAAGCCTAAATACTTGATCTTTTTTTTGCCAAATTTGTGTCTTTTTCTTGGATACCTCATATGTAGCTTTCTAAAGCAAATGAAATGGGTCCTTGGTGTCTTGATAATAGTCCCCTTGGGTTGGGGCTGCTGGAAGGACATCATCTACATACTGCAGCAGGTACAATTGTCCCCTGGTGTGATGAAAGCTCGGAGATCAGTAGCTAGTGTCTCTTTAAAGATTGTAGGTGAGTTTTTGGACTCTTGAGAGGGCCCAGTCCAGGTGAGCTGTTTTTTGTGCCATTGACAGGATCCTCCTATTGAAATGTAAAGATGGGCTGGCTGACCAGCACAAGACACAAACAGAAAAAGGTATCCTTTAAATCTAAGCAGGTAAGCCAGGCAGAATTTGCTGGAATAAGTCCCATTAGTGTGTATGCATTTGGCCTGCACTAGTCTGTATTTATTTGTCCTTGGTTTATGTACTGGAAGGAGTGGGGTGTTTCAGGACAACTGGCATCTACCAGGGTTTTATGATCTATGAGCCACTTTAAATGTCTTGTAGGGCTTCCTTGGGGAGGGATATTGTTCATGGCTTTAGATCTATTATTACTGGTGTCTGATTTACAGTTAGCTGTGATGGGTTGGCTTAAGTTCAAACCCTGGGAATCTTGTGTGTCAGTTTATGTAGCTCATCTATCCCTGACCTTTGAGACTTATTGAATAATATAGTCTCTATTATTTCTTGAGCCTCTGGTTGATCTCCCATTTTGTTGTCTTTGTTGTTGTTGTTGAGCCTCCTGGCTGTTCTTCATCCTTGGTTATCACCTTATGGGCATGATCATTTGTCTTCTCCAGCTGGCCACCCTATATCAAAGGAGGGCCAATCTATTTTTTTAACCTGTTGGGGGGTAGCTTTATTCTATAGTCTCCCATATGGCTTCTTTAAAAGATATTTTAGCATACATTTTAATGGGGGGGTTTGATGCTTTTCTTCTCATCTCTTCTGCTATGATGCAGATCATTTTATCTAGCACTTCTGTTTTAGGAATAATTTGAGCTCTATTAAACTAACAAGCCACCATAGTCTTCTGAGCAAAAAGGAGGTTTTTAAGAAGGAACATCATGGGCTTTCTCCAAACCAGCAAGCAAACATACATATTTCTTTTGATAAATCACTTCTGTAAGCTTTCTCTTGACATATGTAAGCATTCTAGTTTTGTCATTATGTCTCTTTTTATCTTTTTAACAGGACAAACTTTTATCATAGAAAATCTTCTCATATACAAAGTATATCTTATATTTATAGCCTTCTTAATTTTTTCTATCTCATTTACTATAAACCATTTATAACAAACTTGGCTGTAGCTGATTGGATTTCTCTCTCTCTCTCTCTCTCTCTCTCTCTCTCTCTCTCTCTTCCCAGATTGTTACATTTTAAATTTCACTGGCTGCCAACAGACTTCTAATTAACCATGAGTCAGTGTTCTTATCTTAAATCAACGGAGAGCAGAGAAAAGAGCAAGTTAACCCTGTAATTACAATTTAAGAATTTGCAATGTACAAGAAATGCTTTAAGCATCAATTAAACATCAAACACACCAATTAAACATCAAATTGGAAACCAAAAGTATACTTATAGTTAGTTAAACTTTGTAATTTGATTCCTCCTATGAAACCTCCTATGTCTGACAGGACTCAGTCACAGTTCTGTAATGTTGGCTATCCAGTCCCAAGCTGGAGCTGCTTTGCCCCTGAGGCTCCCAAAGCTGGGAGAAGACCTTGGGGCCTGCCTATGTTTGTTTTGCCCTTCGGAATTCGAAATCTGCACCTGCCAGCATTGGGGCTCTAACTGGTGTGTGGTGAAGAGACATATTAGATAAACTACCAAGAGCCTGTGAGCTGTAGCTTTGGCATGATTATCCACATTCTGAATCCCACTACAAACAAGAGTCCCAATACAATGCCCATGTAAGTTACAGAGGATAAGGGTCATAAATGACTCTTCTTATCTAAACCCAGAGTGGTACTGGAGTCTTGCTTGTCAAAGAGGAGCCTCAGATCTTCCAGAAGTTCACAGGAGTAGCTTGCTTCTTTTGAGTGGTCTCTTGTTTCAGGTGGTTCAGACAAAGCTGGCTTTATTCTCAAAGGTGAATCCAGCTGGTCTTGCCACTTTTACTGCAGTGGGTATGGCAAGGATCACTGAAGAGGGGCCCTTCCATTTTAGTTTTAATTGGCCTGCAAGAGCCCCTTCTTTCCAAGTTATAAGGACCACTTTATTCCCATACAGTTGACAGGATGGTGTACTTAGCACCTTGTGGCCTCTGGGTCCACTACTATGTCAGAAGATAGAAAAGGTCTTCCATAAAGCTTTGCAAATGGACTCATATTCAGCCTGGTTTTAGGGCTATTTGAAATCCTCATGAGGTCTATTGGCCATAATGAGAGCCAAGACTCAGAAAACTGTTGGCAAAATTTTATCATAGCTCATGTTAAGATCTGGTTGGCCCTTGTGACCTTTCCAGAGGACTGATATCTCCATGCAGGATGGAGATGGTACTTTATTCCTAAAGGTTTTGCCATGCTCTGAGTTATCTAAGAGGTAAAAGAAGGCTGGCTGTCACTCTGAAGGATTGGCATAGTCCAAACTGTGTGATAAGTTCTTTAAGGAGCACCCTGATTTCTTCCATAGCTTGTTCCAAGTGGGTAGAGAAGGCTTCCATCCAACCTGTAAAAGTATCAATCAAGACCAATATTTGTTTAACACCCCCCCACACACACACATGATAGCAGGAAGTAAAGTTTAATTACTACTACTTTTCAGGGGATGTCCTGCCTCTTTGTGGGTTCTAACAAAGGAAATCCTCTGAGCTTCCCAGGTTTATTATACACACAGATTGGGCAAGCTTGGTACACCTGTCAGGTGATTGTCACTATTCTCACTCTTGTGAAATCTGAAAGACTGTTTCACATGTAATATCTCTTCCCATTGAAAAGGACTCATTTATTTCTCAAATGCTTCCATGGTCCCCTTTTAACTGCCCCTTTTCCTAATGCCTATTATCTTCTGGGGTGGGATATAGGCTGGTTTTAGTGGTTCCTCAGAAACTGGAAATAAAGCTAAGATCTTTAGGGGATGTAATGCTCACTTTTGCCTCCTTACCAGGCCTTTTGATTTCCCAAGAAAATTTTAGACATGTTCCTTTGATGTCCTTTGCAATGAATGACAATGACCTGCCTGGGAAGATGAACTGCCTCCAGGAGTTGTAGAATTTCTTACTTGTGTTTTATGAGTGGTCATTCATTAGTTAGCAAACACTTTTCATTCCAAATCACTGCATGAGTATGTAGCACCAGACAGCCATATTTGAAATCTGTGTAAATATTTAGCCCCTTGTCTCTTTACCTCATATCAATACCCAAGTCAGGGCTACAAGCTCTACTTTTTGAGTAGGGGTCTGAGAGGGTTGGGGTCTGGTTTCAATGACTTGTTGTGGGCTGACAACTACATAACCTGCCTTTCAAGGTGCTTCCTGGACAGAGCTACTTCCAGACTGAACCATTCCTCCTCAAGGTCTTGGAGGGACAGATACGGATGTCTCGTCTACTAAAATACTTTTGGGAAATCATCTGTTCACAAGAGCAGCCAACTTTCAGCCCTGTAGGGATTTGTGTGGCAGGATTAAGAGCAATACAGGTCTCTATGGTAATCTTCAGGGTGTCCAGAAGGGTGCCTCATACTTGGGAAGCTGTTCCTCTATCAACTGAAAATGACCTTTTTTTCTCAAAATAGCCCTGACCTGATGTGGAATCAGGACTTCTAGTTTTTGTCCCAAAGCTAGATTCATGACTTCTTCTGTTAGCATAACTGCAGCTGCTACTGCCCCTAGGCAGAGTGGTCCTCCAGCAATCACTCTATCCAGCTTTTTGAAAAGTATCCCTCTGGGTGATATTTGAAAAATATTCCTGTGTTCCAGCTTTTGGGTAAAGACATCCAGAAATATCCATCTTTCCTTGTATGGAGAGGAAGGAGGGTTTGCTTAAGTCAGGTACTCCTGACTCCTGCTGGAGCCTGAGTGAAAGTATGCTTTATTTCTTGCAAAGCATTGTCAGTCACTTTTGTCCCATCTAAAGGCTCAGATTCAGGACTTTTCCAGCCTTTCACAAAGGCTTTGTCATTAGTCCAAAATTAGGTATCCAGACTTGGTGGAAGCTGACCATTCCCCAAGAAGAGCAAAGCTGCTGCTTGGTGACAGGAGATCGGAGATCATAGATGGCCTTAGTCTGGTCCCTAAACAGTTGTCATTCCCTCGGTTTCACAATGTATCCCGAGTATTGAACTCTCAAGGGGTATCTGGGCCTTTTCATTTGAGTTTATTTCCCTTTTTAGCTAGAAAATTGAGATTGATAGTATTATTGTAGAACAGCTCCCAAGTTGGTGTGCAGATTAGAATATTATCTACACACTGTAGGACAGTGTCCTGTGGAAGTTCTAGGCTCCTTAAGTCCCTTCCCAGTACCCAAGAGAAAAGGTGGGGCTTGTCATACACAAGATTAAAATGCTTGTCATGCAGCAATCACGCAGGTCTCTATTTCAGTGTTTTTTGCATTCTTTTCTTTAATAATCAAATATAACTGGGCCGGGGATTTAGCTCACTGGTTCTGCTGCCTGCTTTGCAAGCACAAGGACCCGAGTTCAATCCCCAGTACCAAAAAAAAAAAAAATCAAATATAACACACACACATATATAAACACATCCACACGTACGTGTATATGTGTTTACGTATACACAGTCTTTACGGGGTACAATTGATGTGTTGATGTGTTGATGTGCTGCCCCGTGTCTGTGCCTGTGTCCCCCTTCCGCCCCAAGAAGCCGCAGCCCTCTGACTCCCCTTAAAGACCTCCTTTGAGAGTCGCACACACCCAGGCCCCTCTTTTCCTCTTCTGTTTGCTTTTGGGGGGAAGTGCCCAGTGAAAGATGGCACGCGCGCCCCCTAGTGGTCAGAAGGGGAATCACCCGAGAGAGGAGACGCTGCTGTCTCCGAGGGGGACTCGCGCGTGGACTGCGTGTGCCCCTGTGTGAGTGTGCAGGTGTGAGCAGGGGCAGCTCCGCCTTCCCCCAGCTCCAGTCCCGCAAACGACGCCGCCTCCACCCCGCCCCACAGCCACAGCGGCCCGTCCGACCCCAGCCTCGAAGACCAGCGAGTTCAGGGCGGCGGAGCTGGGGGTGTGGAGGCGCCCAGTCCGGTATGAGTCGCCAGGGCGCATGCGCACACCGAGCGGTCGCGGTGACCCCCGAGCCCGAGTGAGGCCTGAGCTGCAGATCGGCTCCGCTCTCGGCTGAGGAGTCAGCACCGCGCCAGGGCCAGCGTGGACCTGGGGCCCTTTAGGGTCCGCTGGGCAGGTCTGCAGAAGTCTGTGGGAGAGCGGTTCCCTGAGACGCGCGGGGCTGCGACTGCAGCACAGGTGAGGGAATCAGCTGAGCGGCCCTGTCCGGGCCTCTGGAGACAGCCAGGGTCTGTCGCTGGGTCCCTGGAAACAGCCAGGGGTCCCTGGAAGCAGCAGCAGGGACCTGGGTGTGGAGACCTCTGGGCTCCAGCTGCAGCCCCAGGAGAGCTGGGAGCTCCCAAGGGGAAGTCCTCCAATGGGGCTGCAGCCTTTCCGGAGTGACCTCCTGAGTCCTCGGGGGCAGGAGCCAGGCGGGCAGGGTCAGCGTCTGGCGAGGACGGCATATGTACTGGACCCTTCAGGGGGTGCCGTGGACGGTGGGGACACTGCTTGGGTCCCCCTCTGTGCCAGGGCTCGATGGTCCAGCTGAACATACATCACTTCCTGGGGGCCCTGCAGCGGGGTCTGCGGAGAGGCCCAGGGGAGGGAGGGGAGGCGCTGAGGGCCCCGTGTCCTGGGATCCTGTCACTGTGCCGTCCCCTCCCATGGGGTATCAGGTGGGTCCTGTGAGCAGTAGAACGTGGCAGGCGACAGCATGTCACTTCCTGGGCAGGCCTCCAGCTTGGACGTGGGCCGCAGCCCTGGTCTCCCTGGTCATGAACACTGCCCTGGCTGACCCTTGCTCTGCACCCCTAGAGAGCCCGTGATGCAAACCACCCAGCTAAGCTGCCCCCAAATCCCTGCACCCTGCTAACCCGGGGGGTCTTTGTTCCGCAGTATCCATGACCCACACTGAGGCTTACAGAGGTGCTCTGCTCTCCGCCCTGCTGAAGAGTTTGGTCAGCTGTGGCCCAGTCTGGGGAGGAGAAAACATGAGGTCAGGCCTTGGGTGGATGTCAGGGGGCGAATGTGACCAGACCCCCTGACGCTCCCGGCCTCCCACCCTCTGCCCAGGCCCCTTACCTGCTGCCCTCCCTGGGCTGTCCACAGCCAGGCTGGCCCTGAGGGTGGAGAAAGACCAGGTGAGGGCACTGGGGGCAGGGAACCAGGCAGGGCGCCAGGCAGGGCCGGGGTCATCCGGGGCCTCACCTCTCCTGTGGCCTCTGCTCCTGGTCCCTGCTGCTGGGGGCCCCTGAGGACAGTCGGGGGTCTGGGTTCAGGAGGATGCTTCATTCTCAGCACCCTGATAGCCTGCCCGGGACACCCACACCTCACCCTGAGACTTACCATGTTTCTTCTGCCACTGGCGATGGAGGCAGAAGAGGAGGAGCAGGAGCAGCAGGACGATGAAGCCCGCAGAGACCCCCACGAGGATGTACAGGGGCTGTGCCTTCAGGCCGGGCATGGCTGGAAAGACAGAGCCAGGGTATCAGCAGAGGCACGCACAGAGCACACACTGATGGAACTCCACCAGGTGCTTGTCACAGACTCGCTTCTCTGAGAACCCAACGTGTGCCACAGCCCTGCAACTCGGGAGTTGCCCGCCCGCTGGCACCACTGTGCACAGGAACATAGGGCGCTGCAGAGCAGGAGTCTCCCCCTTCCCCAGAGGTGCACCCCTCATCCTCACTCACCAGCCATGTGACTGTTGCCCCCTGGCATCTGCGTGGCTCTTGGGGAGGTGGAGTCTGGAGAGAGGGTCAGGCCTGAGCTGGACACAGCAGGAGCTGCCCCCCTAGCCACCTGCCCTCCCAGACCCTGGTGCCCTCTGCTCCGGCCCAGCCTGTGCAGCTTCTGCAGGGGAGTCGCCCTACAGCTGTGCAGCCCAGGCGGGCGGGCACATGGTGATGGCGTCCAATGTCACCAAAGTTAAGCCAAGGAGAAGTTGTATTCTTGGCCATCTGGCTGCATTTCAAGGGCTCAGTGGCCACATGCGGCTAACGACAGCAGATCTGCCCCTGCAGGTCCAGACTGCTTCCCACACACAGGAAGCTGAGCTGCACAGCACTGCCCACCATGCTTTGCGCACCCTGGCAGAGATGCACAACCGGAAGGAAGAGGGAGCAGGACCTGGGCCCTGACTCAGGTACATAGCCTTGTCTCTGATGTCACCTGTTCCCCACAGCACCCTGAAGATGAACCATAGCCTGATGCCTGCAGGTAGCGGCGAGCGCCCATCCGTGTTCTCCTTCACCCTCGGTATGAGCTCTCAGGGCCCCGCGGTGCCTGGGAGGTTCTGGAGCCCATCCCGCGTGCAGAGAGCCCATGCTACCCTCCTGCACGTCGCACCCCCTGCAGCTGCCACTTCAATATCCTCCAAGGAAAACCAGGCAGCTCCCCAGGCCCCTCTGTCTGCACTTCATCCCATGGAAGAGCCAGGGTCCTGCCTGCTGCCCTACACCATCACCACCCACACTTGCTCACCATGGGACCCCCGCCGTTCACATGCCGGTCTGTGCACACAACAGCAGGTGGGTGATTACACTTTGCACTTTAAATGCAGCCCCTTGGCGTCACCCAGCGACCCCAGGTCGCCCTGTGTCACAGTGGCCTGCAGCACTGGAGACAACGCCAGGCACAGCAGGTGTGCAGGAGGGGAGCTGAGGCTGCACCGGGTGGCAGAGCCAGCAGAGGCTGCACCAGCATCGCCACGGTGCCCACGCAGCCGGCCGGCCAGGAAGTGTTTCTCAGAGCATCACCCATGACGAGGTGATGCGTGACACGGAATGTGGGCAAATGCATACATTAGGCAGTTTTAGCATCTCTTCTAAATTTATATAAATAATTTAATCAATTGCCTGTAAAATACATAGTATTCCAATTATATGAATTATATGTACTTAATATACCATCGATATTTTATATTTATGCTAATTATAGTAATACCTATTAAGTTTTATGTTATAAACTGATATGACATTGAGTACATATCATGTATCTTACTGCAGTGATACACTAAAATATTCCGTCATACTAATCATACTGCTTATGTAGTTAATGTGTTGCATAAGTTCGTGCAGTATGCACGGCGCAGTATAAAGCCCCGTTGTCGCCTGTGGCTGCCGTGTGTGCCCCATGTCTCCCAGGCCCTTCTAACCCTCTCCCCTCGGAGCCCAGGAGGGCAAGGCCGCGCCCCCCCGCACCTGAGCGCCCAGCCTGCCACTCCTCCCAGAGCACTTCAGGTTTTCTCTGGCCCAGAACAGGCAGGCACCGGCCTTCGGGACCAGTGTGAATGCATCACCCACCCCTGAACCGTTAGCACCCAATCTGCGCCCAGGGACCCCGATGCTGAAGCTGGGAGGGGCGGGGCCCTGGTTTGGACCGGAACCCGGAGTCTGAGCCCTTGACCGTCCTACTCCACGGCACGCGGGGGAGATGCTGAGACTCCCCACGCGGGCGGCAGCACAGCCCGAGGCCGCTGGGAGGCGCCCGTGTGCCTACCCTGGCGCAGGTCCCGCCTGTGGGCAGCCTGGCTCCCCGCCTCCTCCTGGGGCTCTGACCCGGCCCGGGCCTGCACTTGGCCACGGACAGGAACAGCGCCCAGCACAGAGGAAACCCTGCAGATGGGCAGGGGAGGGCGCACAGCCTGCTCACGCCCGGCCCCTCCAGGAAGGTGGGGCCACAGGTACAGGGGTCCCGAGCCTGGGTGCCCCGACACGACGCGGGGAGGCGGAGCAGTCGCCCCAGGCTCACCAGTAGCGGGCAGAGCCAGTTCTGCCCGGGCTCCTTCAGAGCCTGTGCCTTTCACCAGGAACCTTAACTACCCACGTTTTAAAACAAGAGGTTGTGTTAGAGATCAGACTGCTGCGGCCCTCTGCCTCTAGGGGAGCTGGGGTTAAATGCTTTAGCAGGGCCTGGTGCATGGCCGTGAACACCAGTGGTGCCCATGTCCTGGTGGTGCCAGGCCACCGCTGAGGGCCGCTGGGTCCCAGCACGGAGCCGCTAGTGGCCCCAGAGCTGAGGACTCTTAGAGACCGAGGCAAGAACAGGGCTCTGTGCAGGGGACTGAAGTCTCTGGGGCTGTGGCAGGATTGAGACTTGGGGAGGCCGCTTTGGGCCCATCCCACCAGCTGGGCCCTGCCCTCCCTGAGCATCCACCTAGAGAGCATCTGGTCACTGTCCACTCCGACAAGGTCCCAGGTCCCCGGAGAGAGCAGAAAGGGGAACAGGGCTGCAGCGGAGCCCCCTGCCGACCCACCCTGCTGTGGTGGTCACGCCCTCTGCTCCTCCCACACCGCACTCTGCTGACCTCACAGATCCTCTGTGAACAGCAACTCTGCAGCCCAGGTGAACACACAGGTGGGCTGGACCCTCCTCACCCGACCCTGACTCTGGGATGTCTCTGGAGCTGACCCCAAAAGGGCAAGGACCATCCTGTCGCAAAGCACCATCCACCCTGGTCAGAAGCATGCCTGACATGTGCCCTGCCAGTGCATGGGAGGGACCACACCAGAGGGGACGTAGTCCTGGGCCAGCAGAGCTTGTCTCCATGGAGGGGACTCTGATTGTACCATCCCCAGGGAAAAGACACATCTGCCCACCCTGTCTGGGACCCACTCCCCACCCAGCCAGCAGGGCCAGCCCTTGCCCACTGGAGCTGCGGTCCAGTGAGACCAGTGCTCCAGGGAGCTTGGGGCATGAAGGCGGAGGGGACAGGTGTGCAGAGAAGTGGGGAGAGGGCTTGAAGTTGGGAGGAGGGGTGGGAGGCAGGGGGACAGAGGATGGCAGCAGGGTGCATGGTCCGGGGACCTGGGGACGAACCTGAGACTGGGGGCCTGGGGGCCTGGGTGGCATCCACACTGGTCACCACCAGCTCCAGGGTCTCACTGCGCGGAGACCAGTAGCCCGATTTCCGGTAGATGCACCTGTAATGCCCAGCAATGTCTGTGTTCACTGAGTTGAGGATAAACCTGGCTTCTGTCTTCCAAGACAAACTGTTCTCTTCCCTAACTTTGAGACAACTCTGGGCAAAACAAGTCTCCAGGCGGAATAATTCAAACCCAGCAGCTGCCTCGCACAGGATGGTCGCGTTGCTCCCCTGGGTGATCATGGGGCCTGGCTTAGCAGAGATGGAGGGTCTGGGCAGGGGCCCTGGGAGGAAGCAGAGCAGCGCCTCAGTGTCTGCTGAGTAGAAATCACCACACACAGAACTGGTTTCAGGGGCACCACTTGGTGTCCTGGGCACTCACAGAGCTGTGCGCCACGATGCAAGGTGACATCCCTCATTCCCACCCTCTCCATGTATGGTCTGTGTGCACCCCAATTCTCACCACTGCCGCCCTGACAGGAGGGACCCCAGCTGGCACATCGTGGGACTCAGAGCCAGCGCCGGGCCTGGGGTGTCTTCTGTGGAGCAGCCCCGCTCTGCCCATGGCCACTTCCCAGAGCCTGTTGAGCAGCCCCGCTGGGATTTCCTCTGCGATTCCTGTTTATCTCAGGCTCATTTCCATTTGCTTATTACCGTGGTTTGAAAGTCCCCGCTGTCTCAGGGGGACCGAGCCAGGGGACGGGCCAGCTGAGGCCCCTGACGGGGCGTCTGTGAGCTAGCAGATGGTCCATCCACCCACTTATTCCTCAGTCACTCTTTTCACTGACAAATAAAGGTGATGGACCGCTAACTGCTTGGAGTAGGAGACTACGCTTTACATGTATATGTACGGAATCCTCAGTGCACACCCCATAAATACGTGTACTTTAGAGGTGTCCACTAAATATGGAAATGTTCATTACACATACTTACGGTGCACAGCACAAGTGTACATCATGGAATGGCTAAATCAAGCTCATTAACAGTGGGAGCCCACACACTCGCACTGCTGTGTGGGGAGAACATTCAGAGTTTGCTCTTGAGATTTTCAAGCACACACAGGTCGTTATTAACCATGTTGCTTAAATGGCCTGAACTTATTCTAACTGAAATTTTGCCTCCTTGGAGCCGGAACTCCCAGCCCCTCCTCCTTCCTTCCCACACCCTCTCAGCCACATCTTAGTTCCTCTCTACCCTGGGATCTCCCTCCTGGGCCGAGTTCCACAACAGCATGAAGCACAGACACTGTCTGGGCCTTGGAGCTGAGCCTGGGGCAGAGCCAGACGCTGGCTGAGGAACTCCCCACCCACCACTGCACCCCGGGGGGAGTGTCCTTGGGGGAGGCAGGGATCTGGGGTACCAGGAAGGGGCGGCTGAGCCGACCAGAGGACAGGTGTGGATGCCCTTCCCTGAGCCCCCAGGGACACAGGACAGCGCAGTGGGAAGGAAGAGCCACCCGCAGGTGTTGGTCAGAGGACGCGAAGCGCCATCCAGACAGGAGGAGGCAGCCCAGGAGCTGGGCCACCACAGGGCACGAGGCCAAGCAGGGTCTTGGACATGGAGGAGTTAATTTAAAATGCTCTCCCCATTAAAAACATGTCAGAGAGAACGCATAAGCTAATTAGCTTGATTAAGCCATTATGCAATGTATACTTACTTCAAAATATCGTGCCATCCAGGTAAATAGGCACAGTTTTATTTGTCATTTTAAACTCAGCCTGTGAGCTGAGCTGGAACTTGTGCCTCTGAAAAAGTGATAGAAAGTCGAGCTGTCTGGGGACAAGCACCCGGGACGGGAAGTGGCCTGGACATAGCTACTCCCGGACCAGACAGCTGTACAGGTCTGATTCCATCTGCAGATAAACTGTGGAAACCTCTGAGGAGGAAGAATATTTTTCCTGAAAAAACTGCAAACACAAAGCCTTTGGCTAAAATCTGAAAACCATAGAAAGTGAAACCATCGAATTTCTGCAAGCACTGCAATCACCCTGGATCCAGAAGGACCTGGGCAGCTGCACTGTGGGCACTGGAGGGGCTGGGAGAGCAGCAGGGCAGAGGAGGTCGGAGAGGGAGGCCGTGGCCGGCTTGGGACCGGCTGGCGTGTTCCTGCTCAGGAGATGCAGGGGAGTCGGGGCTGTTAAGAGGGAGAATCGCAGGCTCAGCCTGGGCATGTGGGGCCGGTTCTCCTCTGCAGACGTCAGGGTGCCATTGGCCACTGAGCCCCGGGTCACTGCAGCACAGCCCCGCAGAAACAGACAGACACAGGGTGCACCAGTGGGCGAGCGGACAGAGTGCGCGCAGGTGCAGTGGCTGTGCTCCGTGCACTGGGCCCACACTCGGGGCTTCCTGCTCAGTGCAGTGGGCCAGGCCCAGGGCAAGCAGCGTGGGCCTCATCTTGCTCCTGTGGAATTGGAGGAGCTGAGAGTGGAACTGTGGCTCCTGGAGGGGAGGCCAGGGGACAGGGAGGGTGCTGGTCAAAAGGCACAAGCCAGCACTTAGCCCAGAGGAGCCGCCTGGAGACCTATGCACGGCGGGCTGACTGCAGCTCCTGGTGACACAGCGCGAGTTCCACACTGGCTGAGGCCAGACGGCAACTGTTCTCACCACAGAAGTGAGCACAGGGGCGTGGTGTGTCCATGAGCCTAATATAGTTCTTCCCCAGTGTGAACATTGCCTAAGTGCACCAAGCAATTCTTACCTCTCTGTTTAAAGTAAGGAAGCAGCAGACAGGTAGGAAAATGGGTGCAGGAGGTGGCCGCAGGTGACGCATTTGGGGTGTCCCGACTGGGGACACACTTAGGGTACTGTGGCCCCAGAGCCCCTCCCTCCTGTCCAGCCTGCCGACCTGACTTACCGTCCTGCGCATGGATCACGGGGCCGAGGCAGAGCCCTGGAAGAGAACCCCAGTTGGAAAACACCCAGCGCTCAGTCCTTGAGGGCTGGATCGGGAGGGGCTGTGGAGCCCAGGACCCAGCCTCCCACTCGACCGAGCCACCTCTCCACACGCATGCCTGCCCTGACCGCCTGCCTGAAGGCGTTCAAGACTCCCCAGGTCTCCCCTGCCCTGCATGAGGCTGAACTTGGCCCCACACCCGGGCCCTGTTTCCTGGACCTGAGGCTGGCAGGAGGTGAGGGGCAGCCAGCGCCTCCTCCTGGACCCCACAGTCTCCTGGTGGAGGCAGGCTGAGCAGGGAACGGGACCCTCCCCGAGTCCCCTCCCCAGTGCCTCCAGCCCTCCCTGTTGTCCCAGACTCACCCAGAGCCAGGAGGGCGGTGGGCTGCGGGGCCATGGCCCGGAGTGAGACACCTGCGCAGACAGGAGCAGGAGGTACTGGCTGGGCCCGGGCCGGGTTCCTGCCCCAGCGCCTCACTCAGAGAGGAAGCGGCCTCACCCTCTCCTTTCCTGCTCTGCCCAGGGGCACAGAGGGAGCCTTGTGGCGGAAGGGCGCTCTGAGTGAACCTGCAGGACAGGACAGGACAGGACCGAGCACGGCCACACAGCAAGCAGCTCTGAGTCCACCAAGCAGGCCCGGGCAGTCAGTCCTGGGCAGGGGGTTGCGACACCGAAAGGCAAGTTCCTCAAACTCAAAGTGGAAACCACAGAACCCTGCTGCAAGGGTGAGCACTGTGCTCTCTGTGAGTCCCGGGAGACAGTGACACACCAGACATCCTGCCATGGGTCACACTTTCAGAAGGCGCCCAGGGTCAGTGTCCGCACGTACAGACTCTCCTAATGCCCAGCCCTCCTCCCAGCTCTCCCAGCTGGGCTGTGGAGAAGCGGGGTCCCTGGCACACTGCTGGTGGGAACACGGCGCTGCGATTGCTGTGGGAAACAGAAAGGAGATCCCTAAAGAAATGAGAAATACAACTACTGCAGGACCCAGCAATCCCCCTGCCCATTGTGTGTGCAAAGGAAACGGCACGAGCATGTCGAAGACAGAGCTACACTCCATGCGCATTGATTGCAACATCACTCACAAGCGCAAGGCTGCAGAAACTGGAAATGTCCATGGACGGATGGGCGGCTGAACCTGGTGCTACACAGAGTGAACGCTACGCAGCCTGGAGAACAGAAGGAATCTCAGCAGGTGCAGAAACGTAAGCCCGACGCAGACAAAGAAGTGCTGCACGATTCCCCGAGCACGAGGCATCTACAGAGCAGCCTCCTAAGGCCAGAGGCAGGGCTGCGGTTTCCTGGGCCGGCAGGAGGGCCTGGGAGGGGTTCGTGCGCAGGCGCACTTTTCAGACACCTGAGAGGAGCAGGCTGGGGAGCAGTGAGGCCCGGCGCTCCCGCCGCGCCTGCCTTGCACGCAGCCCGCGCTGACCACACGGGCCCTGCCTTCTCTCGGCCACACTGGGGACCAGGGAGGGCAGGAGGAGCGAAGCCCCGCAGGGACTGGGTGGGCAGGACGCAGCCCTGAGACCCGCAGGACCGTGGGCGCAGATGAGGCACGCGGGCGGGCGTCAGAATAAAGGGCGAGGCGGGGCGGGGCCTCTGAACACCTGTGCGATCCTGGGGCCAGAACTAGGCGGCCTCGCGGGTTCTCGTGTCCGCTGCACCCAAATGCAGGGAGGAACAACTTCTCCAGGCAGCGGTGGTGATTCTGGCCAGCACTGATGGGAGCCCACGAAGGCGCACGGCTCACCCAGTCCTGTGTAAGGGGCGGAGTCCCAGGCCTGAGCGGGCATGGAGGGAGAAAACCGGAGGGCTGAGTCTCACCAGCCCTCCTGTGAAGTCACCCCCCCCCCATCTCACCCTCCATTCATCGCCTGCTCTCTCTGCAGTGCCTGTCGTGAACGCTGTATTTCCCTGACTGCTATTCTTTCCCATCTGAGGTCCCCACTACCTGCTTCCCAGTCTTCTCTGAAGACTCCCGTCACTGCATCTGCATCTGGGTCGGTGCCTGATGCATAGCAGCAGTGCCAAGAACAATCCCAGATGCAGGCCGGGTGGGCAGAGACCCACACCACGCCCAGGAGTGTAAGGGTCATTGAACACAGCCCCAGGGGCCATGCGGGTTACAAGCTGTGTGACTCTGGGCTGTTAATCAACCTCTCTGTACCTTGGCTGCTTCTGCAAAATAAAATTTTGTCAAAAAGCAGAAGAGGAAACCTGCAGAATGTGAGGAAATGCTTACACACTGTACACCTGCAAATCCTGGTAACCTGAATACAAAAGAAACTCAGACAACTCAATAGCAAAAAGCTTCAAATGACCCAATTTGAAAACAGGCAATAGACCTGAATGACATTTTGCAAAGGAAGACACACAAATGGCTGTCAGGCACATGAGTACGTTCCAGCCTCATCCGTCATCAGGGAAATGCAAGTCGGACTCATGAGCGGACATCATGTGGCTCCGGGGAGAACAGCTGTTACTAAAAAGACACAGATTAGCACTGAGGATCAGTGGAGAGGACACCCTCGAACGATGCCAGTGAGTGTCAGAACAGCTGCGGTGAAGAACAGCGCAGAGGCCCTGCAAAGATAAACCATAGAGGACCCAGCACACAGTCCAGCCATCCCGCTACAGTGATATGAAGGCAGTGCGTGGGAGACCCCATACCCCTGTGTCCACTGCAGCACCATGCACAGCAGCCAAGAAACAGAAACAGCCTAAGTGTCCACCAGGACGGAAAGGGTAGAGAAAATGTGAGCTGCATTCCATTAGATACATTTCCCTTAGACAGACAGGAAGCCGGTCATCTCTGATGGAGTGGATGGACAGGAAGGCGTTGTGTTAGCTGCAATAAGCCAGGCCCAGAAAGAGGAGCCTCACAGGACCTCCCTCGGGTGGAATCTGAAGAAGCTGATCTCATAGAAGTCGAGGGTAGAAAAGTAGACATTGGGCCTTGTGTCTAGATGCCCCCACAGAGCCTCATGTGCTAACCGGTGGGGCTTTTCAGCGCTGCTGGATCTAGGGTGTGAGATACTGGCATTAAGAGTGTGTGATGGGGGGCCGGGGATTTAGCTCAGTGGTTCCGTTGCCTGCCTCGCAGGCACAAGGTCCCGAGTTCAATCCCTGGTACCAAAAAACAAAACAAAACAAGAGTGTGTGATAACTAAATTGGTTTAGCACAGTTCTGGGTGTGGATAACGGAGGGTCCACCCTGGGTGTGGGTAATACCAACTAGTTGGCTCATACCTGGAATATAAAGGGACAGAAGGGAATATAAAGGCTGCTTCTGCTTGCTGCCTCCTGTCTACCCTACCATGGACTGTTTCTTCTCGGTCATTCCCTTCTGCCGTTCACCCTGTCTTGGAGCCAGCCAACTAAAAACTAAGCACTGAAACTCCTACAAACTATAAGCTAAAATAAACTTTTCCTCCTTTTAACTTATGCGTGTCAGGTATTTTGTCTCAGCAATGAGAAAGTAACTAAGACAGTGGGTCCCAGATGCTGGGGGAGCAGCCTGGAAGAAGGGAAGAAAAGGCAAATCTTTGAATACTAAGTTATGGTTCCTTAGGGGCAAGAAGTTCTGGTGCACACAGGAGGGTGGCTGTAGATATCCATAGTGCACTGTATATTTAGAAAAAACAGAAGAAAGGATGCTCAGTGTCTTCACCATATAGAAACGGCCACTGTCTGAGGAGACAGCTATCCAACACTACGGAATGCCTCCACGTACTGAAACACCACATGCCACCCTGTGAATGTGCACAATTTTTATGTATCAATTAAGATTTTAAGAATTAAAAACGAAACCTAGAGACAACCAGACAAAAATTGCATCATTGAAGGAATAAAAGGGAATATGTCTAATTCATAGAGCTGCTGCAGTAGTCAGTGAATTAACATGTGATAAGTCATCAATGCAGTCCGATGGTACTGAGGTTCCTATATTGATTATTGGTGGGACCGAACCCATGTTCTTTTCAAGAGCATGTGAAGCATTTACAAAAATTGATCATTTATTAAAATCTCTACTATTACACAGATTTAACATAGTACAAATTAGATCTTCTGCCTCCAAGAGATAATAGAACTCAAAGATTGAAATCTACACATTTGAATTTCTAATTTTTATCTGTGTTAGTGCTGTACACGTGTACAGTACATAGTGATTACATTCCTCACGGGGGGGGGGCAGGTCCATTTACATAACACAGCTCAATTCTCTTTATTCCCTCCCCCTCTTCCCTCCCTTCATCTCTTAAGAGGATTTCAACATAATTTATGAGGTGCAGAGTTTTTAAAAATAGAAGTTACAAAATATTTAGAGACAACCTGGTGGTTCATGTAGAAACTTGCTGGATGCAAATAATCATGTTTAGGGGAAATTTGTATGGCTTTCGGGACGCTTTTTTTCAAATAAAATAGGAAATTTGGGGGATTAATTGCTGAGTGTGCCACTTACAGAGCTGGAAGAAGAAAAAGAAGGAAAAGGAGAACGCCGTTATTGTGACATTTTTGGAAAGAGGACGTTTAGGGGAAGGTGGGGTGCAGCTTCGGGCCCGGTCCCCGTCCCCCTCCGGAGCAGGAGGATGCGCAGGGGCGCCCGGACGGAGGCCAGGGTGTGTTCAGGTGACCGCGACCAGGACGGCGTCGCCGTGGGGCGCAGAGCCGCACTCGGGACGACCTCACGCACTCACCTCAGCCACGCAGACGCTGGCGGTCACGCGCCCTGTCACCCCTTCCTCCTCCTTGGCTGCCCGTCTCTCTGCAGTTGCGCCCTCGCCTGGCCGCTGCTGTTTAACTTGTTCGCTTCGTCTATTTAAAGTGTGCTCCACGTTTTGGAAAAAATACGTTGTGTTTAAATGTATGTGCAGCGCGTGGGTAGAAGCAGAGGTGCAGTCGCCGGTCCCTGTAGGAGCCATCACGTCCGCCTTCTGGCCCGCTCGGGACCCAGACCCCGCCCCGAGCCCCGAGCCCCGAGCCCCGACCCCCGACCTCCGACCCCGCTCGGGACCCGGACCCCGCGCCTGCGTGCTCCCAGCAGCTCCCCTGCACCCCGTAGCCCCGTCCTCTGTTTCTAGCCCGCGGCGTTTAGCAGATCCATGAGTACCGAGGCCTGCGCCTTCTCTGTCCAGCCATCCTGGCCCCGTCATCTCCCGGAGCCCGGGGCGACCGAAGCTGGGAGGGAGCCCCAGGTCCCGGCTCCTCGAGGACGCCCGCGTCGGGAGGAAGGTGTCTCGGGCTCCCCCTCGTGGGCACGGCAGGGATTGTCCTCGCCGAGTTGATTTTTTTCACGGGACACATTCATTTTTCTCTTCCCCTGCGCGGGAAGTTTTCTGCCATCACTTCTGTGAACAGTTTTTTTATGTCATCTGCACTCTCTCCTCTTTCTTCATTGACTCCAATCAGTCTTATGTTATTCTTCTTTGCATTGTCTAGCAGCTGCTGGATTGATTTCTCATGTTCCCTTACAATTTTAAAGCAATTTTTCTTACCCTGGTCACTAATTGCAATCTTATCTTCTATATCTGAAATTCTATCCTCACATTGGTTCATTCTGCTGTGCAGACTTTCGATGGAGTTTTTAATCTCCTGGAAATCTGTTTGCATCTGTTTTATGGATTCCATTTGTTTCCTGTGTTGGGATTCCATCATGTTCCTCAGATCCTCTATTTTTTTATCGGTGTTCTCTAGATTTATTAATCATGTCTTGCACTATGAGCACAATCTTTGCTGTTATCTGAGTAATTATTTCTGATTTCATTTTTCCCAGATCCTCTTTTGTTGCCAGTTCAGAGAGTCCAGGTGGTTGAGTATCAGATTGTGTCATCTTGTTTCCCTTTGGGGTTGCTGTAGGTGATCCGGAAGTCTGTTTTTGAGGCTTGTTTATGTGTTTTCTCATGTCCACGGGTGTGTGTGAGTGCTTCTGGTGTCCACATGGCTCACCTTCTCTGCCCTAGGAGTGTGAAATGGCAGCAGGGGAGCTTCCTTCCGGGTGCTGGGACTCCATTTTTCTCATTCATGAGAATTTATTTGTCTTCCATAGTGTACTGAATAAAAATGTTCAGAGGCTCTCAAACTCTGTCCATACACATAAGGGACAAGAGCCTCTGGCCTGATAATCTGTGTCCCCACAGTAGGGGACACCAGCCAGGGACCCCCTCCATGGTCCAGCTGTCTGTCCCCCTCAGTGACCCAGTCGGCCACCATGGAAAACACACCTGGGGAGTTCCAGAAGTGAACAAATCATAAGCTTTGAAGCATGTGGAAACCTCACACTGGCCTGCTCCATCTGGTACAGTAAGGCATGGAGAGAGAAGGAGGAGGAGGGGGAGGGAGGGAGGGAAAGGGCTTCCTGTGTGTGGCAGTCATGGCCTCTTAGCTGCTGTGTCTCTCCTCTCGGCCTGGCGGGCTCGCCTGGCCCCTGGCAGTGCACACACTGCACACCCAGACCCCAGCTCTGCTGTCCATGTCTGGCCTCCCTGGGAAGCTCTCAGCGGCCCACCTGCAAGGCATCGTGAAGAGGTGAGGGTGAGCGTGCCGGGATCTGCAGGGGTCCTGAGGATGGGCGGCTGTGCGGGGCTCTGCAGGGAGAGGAAAGGGGCAGGAGGTGACTCCAGGGGGCAGGAACTGTGGGCTGGGTCCTGGGGCCCAGGCCTTGACAGCTGCCTGAGGACAAGGGACATGCAGATCCACTCCTGGAGAGCACAGCTGCTATTGTCCTCCTTGGCAGGGAGATGGGTGGGGCTGGAGGCCGTGATGCTCAGTGAAATGAGTCAGACAGGGACAGCAAAATGTCACATGGCTTCTCCTCAATGACAGACCTACAAACAAACAGAAGAGTGACATAGAACATAGAGATGGCAAGAGACAAAAAGACAGAGGTTTGGAGATGGGAAGGGGGTCAGGTGGAGGAGGCTGTGGAACTGGAGGGGTGCAGAGTCCACTGGACATGTGCACAGGTTCCCTGAGTGGACATCACTGCTCTGTACCCTAACACACGCTGATATTACTTTTGCAGAAGCCTTAGCCATCCCCCTCCACTTCCCTCAGAGGCCGTGGTTCCTTGCTCCTGTTCAAGCCCTGCATCTGGGTGACCCCCGGATGCCTGTCCTAGAAGTCTCAGCAAGCCCCTCACAGTCACACTTTGGGCCCAGTGACCCCAGACTTGTGCAGTGCTCAGCTGATGCATTCGTCCACGGTGGTCCTGACAGGCTTCCTCTCACCTTCCACTGAGTTCCTGCTGGCTCTCGCATTTCACTGGGTGATACAATGTCTTCCCTTCTCCTCTCCTCCCTGCACACTGTCAGCTCTTTAAGGATGAGACAGAAACTCAGTCCTGTGTTCTTGGCGAGTGGAAGAGAGGCTGAAAAGCTGCAGGCCACAGTGCACTCCTCCTAATAAATGACTGAACTCCCCCGGCCATTGCAGCTGAGTTTCTGTTCAAGGCCAGAGCACTGGCTGGGCTGTGGGTTTGGAAGATTCGCTGGCACAGTCTTGGGGCCTAGCTGGCAACTGTGCGGGCACTCCCAGCACCAGCTGGGTAATTACAGTCAAGTCTGGGTAAGTGCCAAGCTGTCACAGAGTTGGCAGTGATAATAAAAGGGCCCCAAACAGTGCGAGGCGGTGCCTGAGACACTTCTGCCTACCACCCCCAGAGAAGAGGGGTCCTGGCACCCAGAAGAGCTGACGCACAGCACAGACCCTGCCCTACCAAGTCACCCAGCCCAGGGTCTGGGTGCTGAGGGCAAGACGCATCTTCCTCCACACTTTCTGGGAGCAGTTTTACGGTTCCCAGCCAGACAGGAGGACAGATGAAGACCGCGTGTGCTCTGCCCCTGCACCCACAGCTGCCCACTGCCAGTGTCCCTGCCAGGGAGCGATGGTGGCGAGCAGTGAGTGCACAGCCACACACCACAGTCACAGCGCAGCGCACCAGGCCTGTCCCGGGCTTGCACGTTCCGTGGGTGTGCTCGTGTCCTGTGTGTCCACCTCCCCAGAGCCAGGGTGTCCCTCCCTAGATGCCCGCTCCACCGTGCACCCTGCTCTCCCCTCCGCAGCTGGTCCTTCCCCAGTGTCCGGGGTGCAGAGTCGGACACCCTGCGACCTGCTCAGATGGCCGGCCATTCCCTCAGTCACGATCCTACACCCTGGAAGCACTGGAGTTCATGTGCAGCCATTGGCTGGAGGGCATCAGGGCCCGGTCGCAAGGTCCCCATCTGCAGGAATCCTCGGTCTCCTCGCGTCCCCCTTCCCCCGCACTGGATCTGTGCTTGTCATCCTGCCCGGCTCCCCAGGCCCAGCTCTGGGCAAAACTGGCTGGGGCAGGAGCCCGGGCAGCGGGCAGGACAGCCGACCCCATGGGAGTGCTGCACCCTGCGCTGGAGCCTAGGCCACACATGACACCAGGACACGCGGGTTTCGGAGGGACACCGGGACTCCGCCGTGGAGGGAATGAAAAGCTGGCTCAGGAGCTGGCACTACAACCTTGAAACTCTGTTCCATGCGGACGTTGCCTCAGCCTCCCTTTCAGACCTGACATAGGTTGTTGGAACCCGGATGTACCCCGGCACCTAGTGATGCCTGTGTTAAAATTCCTGTCCACGCTCCCGCGACCCACTCCTGGGGATGGCACCAAAGGGAACCACAGCCCGCACTCCCATTTGCTACGCCCTGTGCACGACAGCGCGGGGTGGGACCAGCCCGGTGCCAGGAAGGCGTGGAGAGCGAAGCACTGTCCCGCGGTGCCTGGAATCCCTGTCGGGCACGGAGAGGTCCTAAACTGGTCGTGGCGATGGCTGCACCACCGGGAACACGCACAGTACACGGGGGAGAGCGCTGAGAATGAGCGAACTGTGCGTGTGCCAGGGGCTTCTCTGAACAGCCGCGCAAGCCTGCGCAGTGCAGCCGCAGGTCGGGCTCCTTGGGGTCCTGCAGCCTGAGGACCGCCCGGAACCCGGAACCCGAGAGGCCAGCCTGGAAAACTGGGAGAGCCTGCTCCAAATCAATCTGCTTTAGAAAAGGACAGGCAAGGCCCGGGGATTTAGCTCAGTGGCACCGCACCTGCCTCGGAAGCACAAGGTTCTGAGTTCGATCCCCCTCACACACACAAAAGGCAGGCAAATACAAAGAAGGATAAGGACATCAAGGACACCAAGAAAATAAGAACCAGAAGTCACCAGAACATTGAAGACAAATTAGCAAATAAATTCAAGAGAGAAAAACATAATATTTTAGCCATAAATTCTGGTTTAATTTTCACCATCCATGTAAAAGTGAGCTCGGTAAATTACTGTCGCAGTGTATTGAAGGGAAGAAACCTAGAAGCCCTTAGCTTTGCCTCTTGGTGCTAACCACCGTTTCGCCCATTCCAAACTCCACCCCCAGAGAGTCCTGAAGGCAGCTGGGACCTGGTGCCAGCACCAAGGCTGGGCTGCTTCCCCTCTGACCTCCCAGGTGTCAGTGGCCTTTGAGTGTGCACACACACGTGCCTAGCGTGGCGTGTCAGCCCCCTGCTCTTGTCTCCAGAACTACGGATCCTGTGCTGCTGCTGGCTGAGACAGGCGTGTGTCCCTTCTGTCCATTAAGCAATTAATAAGTTGCATTCTTTAGGAAAAATGGCAGGCACCCGTTTTTGAAAGGCCTGGTTGATTTAGACAGACAGGGAATCAATTACGAAGGCATTGGCACCTCATGGATCCAGGGCGCCTGGAGAGTCGACCTCCAAGAAAGAGCAGCAGCCAGAGGAGGGGAGGGCAGGGACAGAGCCAGTCCAGGCCGGAGGGCAGCCTGGTGGAAAGGCCCCTGGACACGAGCATGGCCCCGGCAGCTCTGCCTCAGCTTCCCCCAGAGAACCAGGAGTAGATGCCTGGTGGAGCCCAGGACCTGAGCCCACTCCCTGGAAGAGGCCACAGCCGGGGCCCTGGCTCCCACCCAAGGAGCCAAGACCAGGCCTCTGCTGAGAAACGGACTGTGGGGACTTCTCCCCAGACAGGAGGCGGCTCCTGTGTGCACAGCCCCTGCTGCCAACCGAGGTGAGTCCTTAAATAAAACCTCCTGCCCACACTTGTGCCAGGTGCTTGGAGATTTTTTTGTAACTGAAGGAGACAGCCAGGCCTGTGGGTGAGAAGTTGTCACAGGCTGAGCTTTCCTTCAGTATTCCATTATGTAATCTTTTCAGACACGAAGAAGAGTCCGAGAATCCTCACAGGACTTGGAGTGCCTGGATTCCGCCCGACGAGGCCTTACTCTGCTCTGTTATCGCTGTCGCTGCCCCCT